GGTCTCCCTCTTCTTTAGCCTGGAGGCCACGGCGTCTGTGATTAACAACAAGAATATAAAATTTGGACTCATATGACCATGGATCAAATTCCGACTTTTAAAATGAGTCTTGGCCCACAGGACACAACGGCGTTTCTGGAGTATGTTTAACTATAGCTTCCATTTCATTTGATAGAGCTTTAGTTGCTCTCTGAATCTTTTGATGATGTTGTGCATGTTATGTTATGTTATGTAGATCATGAGAGTTGCAAAGTCTGTGCAATTTGATGTTGGAAACACATCAAATTGGATGTTGGGAAACACTGCTTTTAAATATTCCATTATCTTTTTATGCATTACTTCACCGACAGCATCTCCCAATCTTTAATTCTGAAAGACTCTCCCTCTCTAAGACGTCTCTAGCTAATCATGTAACAGATCACTTTGCTTAATTACTTTCTAGATTAATTGCTGGATGTTCTCCCTTTTTGACATTTCCCACTTTTTCAACTGTTTGTTGCCCTGTGGCAGAATTCTTTTGACCTGTAGAGACATCAAATTTGAAATGAACACATTTAGTGGATGAAGGTGTCCAGTTTCCCAGTTTGAACATTTGTTCTATTGTGCATAAAATATTGTCTTCTAGTTTTCATTACGTTCAAATTTAAAGAATGTCACAACTTTTCTGGAATTTGTGTTGTACTTGGGGACCAAGACAGAACACATTTTTAAGGTAATTATATATAGCTATGGGAGCCAATGAAGTGTCTTCAATCCTGAGGCAATGTTATCACATTTTCATGTATCTGTGAGGATTCTGGCTACTGCATTTTTTAAGTTTGTCTTTTTTAAAATCATCTTATATCAGCACAACTCAAAACACCTCCCCGGTATTTAGTAAAACTCAACATATACATTGTTCAAGAAAATATCATACAGTTTTTAAAAAGCAAAATTTGCTGTTTTTGTCAGTTTCTGTGGTCAGGTATTTCTTTCATACTTTGCTATCCACCTAACCACTTCATAGCAAAGAGCACTGATCTGCTAATGGCTTTTCAGGAGACTGATAGCACAAATAATAACCATGTTAAATATACGATGTTCATAAAATGCTAAAGTTAAAAGAAAACAAACTAAACATTAGTCTGGAAAACCTCCAAATTTTTCATTTGGATTCATCACTTCTTAAAATCTGTTGCTACTAATTTTTAGTCCAGTTCATGTGCAGCCTTTTCTCCATTTTCCCCTTCATTAAGAATAAGATCTCGACAGGCACCTTTCCATCGAGAGCATTTCTGATGAGGCTTCAGTGAACAGTACTGAAAGGCCAGATGCATCTTTTAGGCTCTGTGTGAGATCCTTGTTGGATTTGTTCCTTTTTCTTAAGGACAACACTTTCATCTACTGTATATTTATTTTTCTAGGCCTGACACTTCAATCAATACATAAAAGGTGAAAATAGTCAGGTATGAAGACTGAACTGAAAATGAGTGAAAAGGCAGCCCAAGAAAAACTTTAAAAGACCAACTACAGATCAAGTCCTTCTAAAAATAATTACAACAAAGTCTGGTTCCTTGGAAGGAAAAAAAATGAAGCAAGGAGAGGTGGCTTGAGATTTTGGCACAGTATGTAAACTGTACTGGGACTCAATCCAGAATGGACAGGAGCAGATACAAATCCCCAGGTGTGAAATATAAATGAAAAGATTTTCATTTTACATTTACTGACATATTTTCATTCTTGCTCTTTTTTGATACCGAGTCAGTATCTTGTTTAAATTACATTTCAAACAGGTATTACATATACAGTAGATACATCTAATCATGCATCGTCTAAATGAAGCCTGGTTTGAAGTATCCACAAGGGGGAGACACTAACTCAGCCTATCAGACTAAGCACATCCAGTTTTCAGCTGCCAGTGCAGTCTTTTCATTTTATTTTTATTTTTACTTTACTTACATTACTTTTCACTTAAATTCCAGTTGACTCTGCGTTAAGTGAAGAACATACATATCACATTTCAAAAATGCTTTGGTCTTTTGACTCACTAAAAGTCACATTTTCTGTAGCTGCAAATGCTGCAGTAGGTTAGTGCTCCTCCATCTGCTAGTAATAACAGCTATCAAACCCACTAATCAGGGGAACACATCAGAAGTTTGTTTAGGCCCAAATTATTTATTTGTGTTTTTGCAAGATTCAATTCATGTCTGCATTTTTTTAAAAGATTCAAGATGCACCTGTGCTCTCAGAGCACAAGGGGGCCCCATTTCAGTGTTTTGCAGCTTGTGTCCATATTTTACTTTCTATCATCTATGATTATTACTTCACCTGAAGCCTGAATGAAGTCCCTAAAATGTTAAATGAGTGTGAGAAGATGTTCTGTTGACATATATTTGCATCTTCTTAAATGTCACCAAACTTCAGTAACTTCACCAAACTTTCATCCTGCTGTAATCGATATGAAGTGCGTGTTCAGGATCAGGCCGGGTGTAAAAGAAGTAAGCATGTAATTTTCATAAAGGCTGACACTTAAATCCAGACCATAATGCTTGAATAACCCAACAGCTGCAGATCTTGTTTGTATAGTGTCAGGGCTTTTTAGGGACTTTAGCACTATACTTAACTTTCCGTTGCCCACTCCACACTTCAGTGGAAAGAGGAAAGTCCCAAATTGACCAAGGTAATCTGAACATGGCAGAGGGTGGGGTGGGATAAGATTAAAGATAAGAAGATGAGATGTGATTTTTGCATGTGTTTGCATTTTCAGGATTGCATGCAGAATTTGATATCAGGAAAGGTGGGTACCTGTAAGCGTAGCAGTAACATGAATTAACTGATGAGTCAATCTTCCTTTATCCCTAATCCCTTTGGGGATTGCTTGAATTCAGCTCTGATCTGCAGCCTGGTGATATCACCAACTCAAGGCAAGGGATAAACTAATCAAATATTTGAGACAAATGCTGACAATGTCAAATTAAGCCTTGTTTGAACTAAGGCAGCATTGTGGTGAAGGTGTTAGCACTCAACTCCACCATCTGGCTGGGACCCCGTGTTTGCACGGTTTCTCCCAGACATGCAGTTAGTGGGGTTAGGTTAACTGGTAATTTTTAAATTGCCCCCTAGGTGTGAGTGTGAATGGTTGTCTATATCTCTGTGTTTGCTCTGCGACAGGCTGTTGAGCTGTCCAGGATGTATGCAACCTCTCATCATTAGAGGATCCTTGAAAATTTCAAAAGGGAAGTTTACCTTTCAAAATCTTTTGTCACCTCTTCCTCATGAAATGTGTTTGCTTGCTATATGGCAGAAACAGCTTAAATTACTCTAAATAAAAGGTAGAAGCCATGGTCCAAGCATGTGGCTATGCTTGCACAGTGAACATATTTACAGTAACAGAAAGGAAAACACTAAATGCATTGTTGGAGTAGCTTGTTTCAGTAACCTGCTGGTTTCAGTAACTTTCTGGTAGCTGCACTACTTCTTTGCATAATGAGTTGAGTAGTTCAACTATTCCTTTGCTAGTCTTTGCTTACTGAAAACACAGAGAAATCTGGGGCATGACCTTGATATAGATCATGACATTGAACTATAAAGGTATGGCCAGCGCGTTTGTCAGGCAGGGCATCACCACAGATAGCATACAAAACGATGTCACACATTAATTCGTGGTCTGCTTTATAACTGTCACAATGTTGTTTTATTAGATGTCACAAAATTTAGAAGAGTCAAAAAGCTTGCAAGCTTGATTTTCAAACTATATAGATGCCTGGCACAGACATAGAGACCTACTTATTAGTGCTAACAAGAGGATGGATGGATAGATGGATGGATAGGACTACCCAAATTACTAGTCAGACAATTGCATTAAAAACGCTCCAAAAGCTATAGTAGGACCACAATTATGGACTTTAATTAAAATAAATTGTGCTGTTAAACTGGTTACTTTAATACTGGAGTCCATGTGGACTGACTTTCTTTAGGAGTCAGCCTGAAGTGGTCATTTGAGGAACTGCAGTTCCAATATTGCTTAATTTTCTTTAGCCCTGAAAGGTCTCATTTGGCCACCACCACATGGCTGTGCAGAGCATGCGCAGAAGAGCCCATAACTCACAGCATCAAGTAATCATGGATAGGCCTTCCAAATACACAGGTAAGTAACAAAATCTTAGGGAAGTTCATGCTTCTTTTAGAAGTTACTGCACGACTGGATGAACCTGCTTGAGCCTTCACCTGTTCTGTTCTCTGAGAGGTTGGTGTCTGACTGATTGCTATGGTTTAAGGCTCCTTGGGGCAGTATTTGTTGTGATTTGAGGATATATAGCTGAACCTGAATTGAATTATAAAAACCCCCAAAAAAGACAGAAAGCAAAGCAATATTCATGTAGTTCCCAGTTAATAGTGTGGCTATTCGTTTATTTACTCATGACCAGTCACTAGCAAAATAAAATATTTTGCTCTAAACTCGGCTGAGACAGCCTTAAAAAATTATTATGTTTGAATCTAGCATCAAGTCATCTTTTCCTTGACTTCGTCTTTGTAACAGAAAGGGTTGTTTTTTCATGTTTTGATAGTAGTTAGTAGTAATGGTTTCTGCAAGGTAATTTAATGAATACTTTGATTACCTTGCTAAACTGAAAGTTGCTCACAAATCAAAATTTGTATTGAATCCAAATTTAATGTTGAAACATTAAATGTGAAACAATGTTGAACTATTTTAAAAGAAAAAAGTTGTCACCTATTGATCATGTGCTGGACAGTCGATCGACAGTCGACTAGTGCCTCCGTGTTTGTTCTGCACATTGCTATTGCACAGAGTCTCTGAACAAGCAACGAGCCATGAACTTCTTGCGAAATTCGGTGTTAAATGTTTTTAACTTGCATGCAAAACAGACAGATGTCAGAAGTCGGAAATGCAAGAATGCTATGAATTCGTCGCTGTTTTCCTGCCTTTCTTAGTATAAAGTTAAGTGGTAGAATCGTTTTGTTTCGGTTTAAAGGGAAAGCACCGTGTCGCTCTGACACTTCATTAAAAGCAGATGAAAGTCGCGCAGCTGCACTCTACCTTGTCATAGGTGCACTAGGACACACATAAGTACCTTATCTCTTAGCGTTTCTTCACATGTAGACTATTTTATTTTTAATTTTTTGTGTTTTTCCCCCCACAGGTCATTGAATTCGAACGCTTATCTAAACCCCACTAGTGACTCAAAAGGAAACAGGGTGATGGTCTGATCGCTGTCCAGTTGATTTCATGGATATGGGAATTGCGCACGGTCGGTTCACTTTGCTTTGACTGATTCCAATAAACTTCTTCAGATCTCGAAGAATCTCTCCCAGTTGATGCCAAGGATCATGACCATGAACGGTACCCACAAGTCGGTTGCCCCAGTGCCGCTGGATTTGCGCACCAATGTCCGAGTGCGTGGGAACGCCGGGGGGACTCCAGCCTGTGGCTCCAGGGACGCTCGGGTAACAGGCGGTTCACCTGCACCTCCGGCGTTCACAGGGGCGGACAGTTTAGATGAAAACTGCCCCACGGTCAGAGGCGTATCGGTCTCACCAACCAGTACTTCTCGCAAGCGTCCAGCGGATAGATCTGCCTCACAGCTTCCTTTTAGGAAACGCCCGATTCCTGTCGAACCGGAGACCAAGAGACTGTCACCGTCTAAAGCAGAAAGAGAAGACCGATTTTCTCCTCCGGAAGATAAGACTTTAGCCGATCCCGTGGAAAGAGTCGGCATAGCACCAGTGACTCCCAGGCAGCTGGAAGGACAGATTCCAAATGGATACCCCATATGCTTTTTCCCTTACGGTAAGCCCTGCTGGCCAACATTAAGTCTAATACTGCAGTATGTTGTGCAACAGCTTTATTATTTTGTTTTGTTTTTAAATATTGTAAGTGTTTAAACCCCAAAGTAAGAATTGGACCATGAGACTATGAGACCATGAGATGTCTGTAAAATTACTATCTGAAGTTTTGATTTCACTGTTCTCCAAAGAAAAACGCATTGAATATTTGTTTGGTTTAATCAATAATACGTGAAATAGCAGCCTGTGGGTAAACTGATCAGACTAGCTGACAAAATGTAGGTTTGGAGGACAGAGCAAGGCACTACATGTTGGGGCATATCATTTTTGTGGTATTACAGGGCATTACCTGCTAATGCTGTTTTGATTTTTAAAACTGTGGCAACAGACAGCTCCTCCTCCCCTTTCTTTAGTGGTTTTCTCTGCCAGTGTGACATTGTGGCAGAAAAGACAGTGAAGTCAGAGACCATAGAGAAGCTACTGCTGCTGAAAATGCCCACTAAGCTATTTTACACCTACTGTACCCCTCATTAGTGTGTTCACTGCATGAATCAAAGTAGCTCACTGGGTCAGTTTATAACTGAATACAGCACACTCATATTTACAGTATATGACTTGTAACTTATCCACTTCCTTATTACAGAAATCACTTGCTTGCCAGGAGCTTTTCTAATTATTCATTTATATCTTCATCATTTCTCTTTTTTTTCTCTCTCCCTGCAAACTTCTTTTTATTTCTCTTTCTCATTGTTTCTATTTCTCATTCTGTGTCATCCCTGCTTAGGTCATTGCCCAGTGTTCTGCCTGCCTCATCTCTCAGAGCCAAATAATGTTGTGGCCCACCAAACTGAAAACGTCCTGGCTGGTATCGCTCAAGCAACAAGACAAGATGAAGATGGAGATACGTATGTTGATTATTTTCTTTTTCATTCTGATATTTGGGTGTCACTTTATGATATACAATCAATCCATCCATCCAGGTAACTGGTGTATATAGTAAACTTAAAAGATGATTCATCCACCTTGTGCATGATTGTGTCATTTGTCATTTTGAAAGTCATAACTTGGCACATTTTATGGATTTGAAAATTCAGCACAATCATTTCACTTCAAGAAATTTTCATTAGAGGGACTTCTAAGAGGATAATGGTTTGAAAATTGAGGTCTACTGTACAGTATGAGTCTGAGATTCAAGTCAATCCCAACTTCTCAGAAGTGGTGACTCATCAATTGCCAGATATGAAAGTTGCACTCAGCTTAAACTTTGTCAGAAAAAAGTTTATTGTTACAAAAAAATGTAAAGTTTAAATCTGACTCATATTGTCATTTTTAAACCGTATAACATGGCCAGTGACAGTAAATAGAAGGACATATGCAACAAGTTCAGACTCATCCTCAACACCATGAACATTAAAATCACAAACTGTATGTAAAAGATGGCCATGGTATAATGATTGCAACTTTAGCTTCATGATGGTGGTCATTTGGGAGCAAAAAGTTTCTATAGATATAAAAAGGACATGGAGAGTTAACTTCACAGTGCCACTTAGCTAGCTTGGTTAGGAAAGCGTGTGGGTATATCACATACATATGGGAGTCAATATGAGTTGATTTAACTTAAAATAGCTAAGTCAACTAACATGCATGTACATGTTGGCTTCATTTTTCAGCTCCTGACCACGCCTCTTAATTCAAACATGCAAATGATAGCAAGTGATTATATTTAAGCTATAGGTTTCACACATATTCCATTATCTCAATGTGTTTTCCAGTGTATAGGTGTATGAGTACGCATCCTAACCCAGTTTCACAACAGACGTTTTGAGTTTCACCGTAGGAAAACCATATGCAGTTAATGATGCTTTTGTTTGATTCAACTTTCCCAGTCACCCTTCGTAATGCGACGATACCCCTGAAACTAAAGCAGCTGCATGGAATTGTGCAGTCATATTATTCCTACTGTATTATATATCAAAGTGTTTTTATTAGAAAGCTTTCTAACATTAATCATGTATCACAACTTCTTACCAAAAATCGAAAGGCCCTTGTGATGAAAACGTGCAGTCTGATCATTACTATTGCTTTCACGTTTTTAAGTCTAAACTAAGTTCTCAAGGAAAACTGTTCACTTCAATAAGATGTCAGTGCAAGTGATTTACGAGGAACAACCCAAACAACATTAATGTCAATGTCCTGCTGTCGAAGACAAAACTTCTGCTGTTGCACAATCTGGACGTGAGATATCAGTAGCGTTCTTTGTTTATTTGATCTCCATGACTCACCTGACTGTGCATACTGAGTAGGTACAGTCAGTCAGTGTGCCCTCCCATTATTGACTGCATTTTCACTTCATGTAAGAAAAACTGGTTCACTGCTGATAAGGACTTATTGAGATTAACATACCTAACATATTAACCTGGAAGCTACAGGTATACTATAGATCTAGGCTGAGAGTGATTTGTTGGTATTCACATGTTGAACAATCCAGAGTCAGCTGACTGGTCCCTCGAGGCGTGAGGTGGTGGTAGTGAGAATACACAGGGCACCAGAGGAGTTTTCGAGACCACATGAATGCAAATATTAAACTTTAACGCATGGTTACTTTACTTTGTCAAAATCTACCACCCACACACTAATAAACTACAGAAATTCATACAAAGACACAAAGAATCATGTGACCGAAAGCAAAGCATGTCCAAGAATTTATTGGCACTTTGATCATGCAGTTTCAAAAAGTATCATCATCATTTGCATTCACTCAAAAAAACCCAAACCTCATGATGACCAATATTTAGCCGAGCCACAAGTTAAGTCCCGTGGTATCTTACAGCTGCTTATTATCTCATATTTGCTTTGTAACTGCAATGACATATCCATCTTTAACAGATGGTTCCACGGAAGTAGATGAATGCATGTCTCAGATCAAAAAAAGCTTTAAAAACAACAGTTTTTATTTTATATTCTATTAAAGTAAGTTTTGTTTTTTTTAAACCACCTTTGACATCTTAGCTGTGCTCTGATTTTATTTTATTTTATCTCCACTTGTGCACCTCACAGTTGTACACTAAACTTGCTGTGTAGGCATAATGCAAATCAAAAGTCTGTCTCATTAGCAGAAACTCGGTGCAAGACAGATTAAGTGCAGAAACCTTACACAACACCTAGTCCCTTTGCTTTCGCAGGCATCGGTTACCTTCTTGTTGCTTTGTGGTTGTTTAAAATTTTGTGTGAATTCTTCAGAAAGAAACATTTACAGCACCCTCTCGTTTTTCACACTGTATGCATATGAGTGTGAGTGTGTGTTTGTGTGTGTGTGTATGTATGTGCGTGTATACATAATGTGTTTGATGGTGAGCATGCGCCTGCTTTTACGTCAATGGGATTTGTTCTCAGCGCCTCTGAGCCCCTTAGTTTCGGGAAAACCAGTGAGTGCTCAGTTTTAAAAAGCTGTTGTGGTTTTTCTCAGGTGTCTCTGTCTCTCTCTTTTCTTCTCTGTGTTTTTTAAATGAATGGGCTCAAAAAACCCAAACATCCGCTCTTGACTTCCTCATTTACCGCTTTCTTTCTATCAGGTTCATCTCTCTCTCTCTCTCTCTCTTTCTCACTCTCTCTCTCTCTCACTCCTCTTTTCTGTTCTGTTACACTGTCATTTCAATGGAAGATGTGCAAAGCTGTTGATTTATTTACAGCTCCTACATGCATGCTTCCAGTCAGTCAGTTACATAGTTACATACCATGACATACATAGTTTAGCAATGCTCTTATTCAAACTGCATTTATTCAGCTTTATCAGCTTGCATCCATTCAGTGCATAGGTTTAAACTGACACATTTAAGTTCGATTAGATGAAAACTAAAAAATTATTAGGTTTGTCCTCTGGGAACATGGATATTTGAGTTGTGTTTAGATGTAAGTTTATCAGTTGAAAAACTCTAAACTGGAATTTCTGTTTTCTTTCTCTTTTTGTGTAATGGTGAGATGGTCTTGAGAACACTAACTTGTACTTAATCTTGAAAGTCCACAAAAATGATAAGACTTAATCACTTATCACTTGCATGTGAAGGATCACTTTTGTTAATGTAACCAGTCCATCCATCCAAGGCCTTTTCTGGTTGAGGACATATAGAAACATATAAAAACTTTGAAAGACCTTCAGAAAATCTGGAGAACTATTATTGAAGACCACTGGCTCTGGTGGCTCAAGACTTTTGGATAGTCCTGTAAAGCCGTTTTACATTAGTTGGCACTGATGGTGCCTCCACAGATATGAAAGTTCAAGATCTTATAGAATTATGAGTGCTTTTGATTGAACTCTAACAGCTAGTATTTCTCCTCTTTAACTTGCATCCATCCACGATTAAAGGATTTAAAATGTGAGTCAGGCCAGAACTGCTTTACTTTGCATAGTAAAGTTTTTAACTTGCTCTAGTGGATGCAATGACAAACAGTATATTTATATAATAAACTACTTGCTCATCAAAGTTCCCACGTAAATATATTTGCACCATCATAGACTGAAAGTAGTATAATTGTTAATGACGAGCACAGTAGGATGTGAAGTAAGTCGTCATTTCTTGTTAACTGGACTGTGGTGTGACTCTGCTTCTCCTTTGTTTACTACACGTTCAAACTGACACATCATCTCATTGCTCAGCTGGTCCACAGACCACAGGAAATGTTAGGCTTCAGTCTGATCATTCAGTCTGGCTGCACTCTCACCCTCCATACCAAACAGGATACCACATGCCTTCTCTCTCTCTCTCTCTCTCTCTCTCTCTCTCTCTCTCTCTCTCTCTCTCTCTCTCTCTCATACACACAGTTACCATCTGTGTTAAGCTTGGGACTCCTGTGTGCGTCAGGGCTGCTGGGCCTGGGGTTATCTGGGGCTGTGGTCTGCCCCACTTCCAGGAACAAGAAACAGTGCAGTTTCATCTTAAGAGAAAAGAGACACATAGATGATGATATAAAAGGGCTGAGCAAGATAAACAGAATGATAATAGGCATACATAGAGGCAAAGGATCTGAATATTACGTTTGTTAAGGGTTATTGATGAATGATCCAAAGATAAATCTATTTTTCACACTTTTCTCAGGGCTCAGAATCACAAAACTCTGCTAAAGTCATATATGAATTGCCTGTCACTATGTTTGAGACCAGGTATACTGTGCCATGAATGATTATCTCCTTTACTGTAGTGTTTATTGTGGAGACACTGCAGGTGCTTTTTAAAGCTAGTTATGGGTAGCCAATAACATGTACAGTAAATATAACCAAACCTTTGTTGATGCAGATTTCTTCACTTTGCTGAGCTTAGTTACAGGAACAGGGATCTGCTGAGGGAAGAACCACCCTGCACACTTGACATACAAAATTGTTTATTGCAGTCACACTTGAAAACTACTCTTGCACAGAGAACATTTGTTTTGCCTTGCTTAAGCGTGGCTTTTAGAATTAAGCATGCATATACATATGCACAGATGGTTTATCTACTTTTTGCATTTATTTTGCATTCTTTTAGTACACACACACACACACACACACACACACACACACACACACACACACACACACACACACACACACACACACACACATTTCCTGCAACTGCCAAGTGAATGTTGGTTACAGAACACACTTTGAAGGAATATTTATGATCATTAAATGCCAGGACACAGATAAACAAAAAATTATACTGGGGAAATCTTAATATGTAGTATGTAATGTTGAAAATTGTAATCAGTTTAAGCTATTTCTTTCCAAGCGCGACTCTTCTTTAACTTAACTTTGTGTCACTGGGACACATCTCACTTAACTGAGAGTGTTGCAAAGTGTTGCAAGTGCTTTTGTCATTATATGAACTTATTTTTTTGACCTCATATTGCCTTCAAAGGTACTTTTAACTTATTCTAAAGAACTGTCTCTGTTTCCTGTTGCATAATTGCACTGTATGTCTGATTATGACTTATCTGTTGAAGCTGACTGAGCAAAACTAAAGAAAGCCCCTGTCAGAAACCATACGGCTTAATAACTAGATTTCAGTGCACATAGACCAAGATAGAGGAAAAAGAATGCTGTCTTTGTTAGTGACAACAGGAAGTGACATAAAACTTGTCTGGGTCTTACTGGAAGCTGCTTCTTCTGATAGAGCACAAAAAGAAAAATGTGAAAACTGATAAACTGTTTTCTACAACATGCCTCTGCACCACCAATCAGTTTCCTGCCCTTCCCTGCCCCAAACCCCGCCCTGTGTTTGTTCATTTGCTTCATGTATAGATCACAGACAGTGGTTTCTTGATAAGGTTGTATGATAAAGGAACTGTGAGTCAGCGCTGTACATCTACTGAACTTGTCAGTGCAACTTTCAGTGTTATAACTTATATCAAGTGATCAAGCAGAATTGGCTGATTTTGATCAAAAAACAAACTTTAGTCCTCCACATGTTAAGTTTAAAGGCCACAAAATAATCGCCCCCTTCTTTGGTTATCGCAGGTTAGCTTAGTTTAGCATACATGCTAACGACAGGGAGAAAACAATTAAAAAGTACAATTATGAAGATGCTATGTCTCAGTCATTTAATCTATATATAAATGTGCTGTACATGTTAAAATAAAACAAACAAAAAGTTTGTTGCCACAGTAAAGTTGCCGGGCAACCATCTAAGACGTTTTTCCAGGCACTGACTTAGTCTGGCACATCGCTTTAGCAAAACCACAGCTGTTGTTTTTCGTTTTTACATGCTAGGTGTTAATTAAGGTGTTTTTACACTTGCACGGAAGTTATGAACTTTTACCTGAGGACGATGCATGGAGAATTCAGTTGTCATTTATAAGTGGATTGGACTTTAAAACTGCCAGCTTCCTGTCTAAAGTTCATGTAATATATACTTGTGACAGTCTGACAATAGCACAAGTAATAGTCTGGTGACCTGGTTCTCCTACTTCTTCAATAGGCCATGTGTGAACAAAGCTTCATTGTGCTTTAGTGTGTAAGTGCTACTAGGTGGCTTCTAATAAAGACTCAGCCAGGCTCGCTATTGTTCCATTTCCACTTGTTGTTTTAAGTTGTTTATGATGGGGATACATTAATTTTAAAGGTTAATTCTGTATATGATGTAAAGAACTGCCATTACTCATGCAAGCACATAATCACACAGTAGTTTTGCAGTTTAATCTTGTTAACCTATCCAAAAGGTATTGTTTTATATACTAGAGGACATACAATGTTATAAACAAAGCAAGCATTCATGAACGTGGCTGAGCATTTTTGCTTTGGAGTCAATACTGAGAGCCCAGGTTTCACAGTAAGAAAATGAAATAAAAGAAAACAGTTCTGTCAGCTTGCAGAGCGAGACTAACTTGTCAGGCTTGGTAATTTGGAACAAGTCTTTGCTCATGTGTGTGTCTGTGTATGTCTATGCTCCATCTCTGGAAATGCTTCTGGAGTTGACTATAACTCATTACTTTACACATGTTGCATTATGCCCAACAGTATGTTTCCTAACAAGTAAATAGCTTTGGTTTGACGAGAACTTTATCGTCTGCAACAACTTGTTATACGCTATCCAATACACTTCCTGCAATTTAAAAAAAATTAAATGATTTTCTTCTCCTGACTAATATTGTGGGTTGTGCGCATGTGCTGCCTTCTTTTATTTAGCACAATAATTAGTGAGTGAGTGAGTGAGTGAGTGAGACTCACAGATGCAGAGGGAGAGTGGTTGCAGGTTTCTGACAAGAGGTCAGGAATGAGGCACACACTAATTTCCATATATGTACATATATTGATTCATATTGGGGAAATAGTGAAGAGTTACATGTACCACTTTTTCAGCCATGAAGGGGTTTTGGGATTGGGATTTGGTTGAAAAGAGATTAGCTTTTAAGGGTTTGATCAATGATAATCAGGTTGAAAATGAGAAATAGGTTGTGTTAAATCCAATTTGAAAATGCAACACTTGTTGACTGTGTCATTTTTTTGTGTGCATGTGTCCTTCACAGAGCTCTCCACATAGCCGTGGTCCAGGGAGCATTGGCCATAGTCTCCAACCTCATCCAGCTCTTGGTGTTGGGTCATAAAGACATTGATATCTACAACAATCTCCGTCAGGTAAAACAGATGTATTGATAAAGCTACTGACAAATATACACATGCACACAGTTCTGACCATTAAATGCCAGGAGACAGAGCTTTTATAGTCATAGGGATTTGCAAAGAAATTTAAATAGTTTAAAGCGAAGAATCTTTGCTGATTATGGAGCTGTTGGCATGTGTGGACATGTGCACGCTTGCAGAAAAAGCTTAGCATGTAAAACAGCCTCAGCATGCACAATATATTTCCCCATCTCACCCTTCTGATAACACTTACATGGAAAAGAAAGAAAGAGGAAGTGAATTGGTTTCCTCCTTGCCTTGCAGTGCATTATCACACACTTACGGTCATGGCAGCTGAAGGTTGTGCAGTGGAATTCACCCTTCCCGGTTTCTCCACCTGTACTTGCCACAAGCCAAAGCCATGCACATTCTGGGAAGGACTATGTGTGATTTCCAGTGTTCTGTATTTTGCACATGGTTTTCTAGTGGTCACTTTCTGTATATGTAGCAAGGGATTTTTCAGTGTTTACATGTAGGATTTACCATGTTGTGAAATTCAGAAAGAAGAAAGCCAATATGATTAATTGGCACAAAAATGACTCACACTAACTCCCAGAAACCTTACACTGATACACAGCAAAATCTCCAGTGTTAAATTAACACTGGAGAGTGTCTATATGGGTCCACTCCTCTGAGTGTTAAATACAACACTGTTGAGTGTTAAATTAACACTTTTGACAGTGTTATATGTTTAAAAGTAACCTAGTCAGTTTTGAAGATTAACAAAGACTAACACTGAGCAGTGCTGATTTTCTAACACTGGAAAATAACTCAAAATGTTAGAAATATGCCAGTGTTAGAAAATCAGCACTGCTCAGTGTTAGTCTTTGTTAATCTTCAAAACTGACTAGGTTACTTTTAAACATATAACACTGTCAAAAGTGTTAATTTAACACTCAACAGTGTTGTATTTAACACTCAGAGGTGTGGACCCATATAGACACTCTCCAGTGTTAATTTAACACTGGAGATTTTGCTGTGTACCTAGTGTGTTTACCTTAAGTAAAAAAAATGTTCATATGCAAAATTACACAGTAAAATTTTCAAAAGCGCCTTTTAAACTTGTATTTTGCACATGTTTTCATTTGTGCAGGGCAATTTTGGATTTTTAATGTGAAAAACTGACAAATAGATCCAATGCAGTTTCACTAGGGTGACTTTTCCCCCCAAAAATGATGGAGCAGTGCAACTCCCTACTTACTCTATCAACATGTTTTATTGGGATTGTGTATATGGAGTTGCTTTTAAGTGTTTCCCAATCCAGGGCTGTCCCAGGCACTGGTGCCAAGCCAACAGTTCAACATTCTTTTCTCCTTTGTTGTCTCCTGATTTCTGCTGGCTTTCTCTTTTCCACTCCTCAATAGAAAAGCAACCAAGCTTTTTCAGAGCTTCAGTTCACAAGTCTGGAGTTTGTTCTCAAGTGTGGGGTTTCACACCACATTGAACGCCACAGGCAAGCTTACCAGAAATAATGCTTGTGCTATCATCAGTTGTTGTCTCTCCTCATCGCTGAGGCTTGACAGCATAGGTTTTATGATATCCTGTGTTTGCCCTATGTATGAAAATGCATGCACGCAATACACACACTCACACACACATACATGCACATACACACTCACATTTGAAGTCATACACAGTTATAACCAAAAAGGGAGATTTACAGGCATAGGTCCCGCCACAGTCATTTGCCTACCAGATTATGTGGTTTTGACTGAAAACCAGGCACAATGAATAAACTTATCAACATGAAGGTAGGGAACTTTTTAAATTTTAAAAACACTGAGTTCACTTCGTAGTCCAGGAGACACAGGCCATTTTCTAATACAAAAAAAACCAGGCACAATTAAAATACAACTTATCCAATGATGACAAATCCTGAGTTTCTGTGGTTTTGCATATGGAACATTTTGACAGAGTGTTACTATCAGTATTGTAACTGAAGAGCAGTGCAAGTGTCACGGCATGATTTGCCTTCCACTCCCAGAACTACAACAATAGTATAGAGACAGCTGTTTGATACTCCCACATGCTATCAGCTACACAAACACATACTACAATGGTAAATGGTATACGACAGCGGATAATGTAGCGTGATGCTGACACTGTGGGGTTTGGGGACTAAATCCTTTGGGGCCACCCACACTAAAACGTGCACTGACTGCCATGTGGATTAGAACAGAGACTACCATGTGGACGTGTTACCGTTACAGTGCAGTATGCGGTTGGCAGTTTAACAATTGAATAATTGTTTTCTTTTTGTTTATGGTACGTTGGTGGTATGCCATTTTATTTTTCAGTGTGAGCGTGTGTGCATGTGTGTGCACAAACAAGGCATCCGTGTGCGTTTGTGTGTACTTTAGTGTCCTCGTTCCGAGAAGTCACATGACCCCTCCCTCCCCCCCGCCTTGCTTTGGGCTGTTTCTCAACATACCTTGCAGTGAGGTTCAGAGGGTAGTTTACAGGGACTTTCCCTTCATGCGCGTGCCTCTCTCTCTCTGTCTCACTTGTGTTGTTTCTCTATCTCCCTCAGTCTCTCGCTCTCTTTTTTTATATCTCTCACTGCATATATCTTTGGTTATAGAATTTGGTTTCTAACCATAGTTGATGAACTGACTGATCATATCAGTGTAACTGTCAACAACACTGACGTAAGCATGTGATGTTTATTTGTGCAATAGGCCTGGCTTTACCCTCTTGTGCTCACAGCAGAAGACAAGTCTTTGGCGCTTTGTGCTGCCTTCCCCTTGTTTGGAACTGCCTGGGGTTGTTTTTCATGCCTCCAAACCTCTACTGCTGTCATCTTTTTACCTCATCCATGATGATCCACTCATCTTTCGGGAATGTAAGCCTATGAGGACAGACCCAAGGGAAAGAGAAGGGATTTTCCCTTGTTCTCCTGTCTTTCCCTTGGACTCCCCTCTGCCACTTCCGTTTTTTTCCCCTTGTTCTCCACCCCTTCATTCCCTTCCTACCCTTCCTCTTATCTTGGCTGAAATTTAGTTTAGTCACTGTGAAATCTATTACAGGAAACCAAAGCCAGAGCCTGCCAGCTCTAAGGGGGTCTATATTAAAGGCCATAAAAGGCCTTAGTGGTAAAGTAATATCGAAAGGGATTTAAGACATGTCCTTAATGGCGTTTGGGAAAAGTTAATAGTATGGTAGCATTTCATAATATTGTTCTATAGTAAATGTTTATAGCAGAAAGTTCAAATACTGGAAATCTTTCAGGGAACATGATTGTGTATATGACTGTGTACTTATGCATGTTTGTGAGTCATAGGATTCAGGGAAGTTGCATTGACACATTGGAGGAATTCCACAAAGATGTTCTCCCACTGCTACCCTACCTACTTTAATAGTCTTTACTGGAACGAACTCTCTGTGCACAGACACACACACACGTTAGTAGTAACACAGCAAAAGTGAAACTTGGAGAAGCAGTCCGTTCCTACTTGCTGCATTTATTGTGTAACTAGAATAGCAGCTAAAAAAGTCCAGGTTTAAATACTTCCCTTTTATGACTGAACTATGAACTAAGGATTGCTTAATGAACCCCAGGTTGCCTGCGCCCTCCCGAGCCTTAATTGACATAATATAAACAGGATGATACATGGTGACCTCACCCACAGGAACATCCTAGATTGCTAAAGGGATTTTTGTCAGTGCTTACAATATTCATCCAGGCAAACACCTGGTGAACAGTGACTTTTGCTTTTCCCGGCATTGTCGACTGCGGTTCAGAACAGGTTCTTCCTCATTTTCAGTTAATCACAAAGTCTGATGCTTCTACTCTTGTTGACAGTGTTTGTTCTGTAAGATATATTAATTTAAGTGCTGAAAACTTTGCACTTAGTGAGTGTATTTGTGTAAATCTAGGAATACACATGCATAGGTGAAGCCAGCTCATGGTCATTGTGTGTTTCTTCTAGGTGTTGATGTGTTCTTGCTTCTTTTTGTTGTTGTTGTTGTTTTGTCTCATTGACCTTTAACCTGTTGAACAGGTTATAGGTAAACAGAGGCCTTTACAAGAAAACACCGCGTTCTTAACTTCACTGACAAGAATAGTTATCGTAAATTAGCCAAAGTAAACACTGTGCTTTTTTATGTCAAGTATGTATTTCCCTTGTTTGTGGGCTTTGTGAAAAAACCAAAAGCTTGAGAAACACTGCACTGCATCTTTATGGTTATCAGCTGTGATATATCTGGCTTGTTTAAACTATAATTTTTGTTGTTATTCCCCCTCAGACTCCCCTTCATCTGGCAGTGATAACTAAGCAGGCAAACATGGTGGAAGCTTTGTTGAAAGCAGGGGCTGACCCTGCAGCCTTGGACCGTAATGGGCAAACAGCGCTCCACCTCTGCTGTGAATATGACCAGCGGGATTGCCTGTCTGTAGTGCTTTCGATGCCATCATCTGCCACCTGCCTTGAGATCCGAAATTTTGATGGTGAGTTACTAAAGATACTTCTTGGCATGTATTACACTAAAAGGGTTGCTTACACCTCTTTAGCTCTCACTAAGTGTGATAAAGCCTGTAATTATTTGCAAGCATCTTTTTATCTCAGATTATTATAATTTTTGATTTAGTTTAACTGATTCATAAAATATCAAATTAAACATGGTTGGCTAGCAATCAAATTATACTTCCTGATATATTTTCTGTTTATTTTTGTTGTTCTTGTCACATGCCCCCTGTATTTGTGACCCAGTTTACGTTTACATCTATCAGTTGAAACATGTGCACAACCAGGTGAAGTGAATTAAAAACCGCTGACACAGTTTCCAGACTGAAAGCGCTCTGAAAAGAAAATTGCATTACTACATTACTACAGTGAATACACCTATTCTTATAATCTCCTTAACTGCCTTAACAGTCTGTTGGTGGGTATGAAAAATGTAAAGCCACCCTCAGGTATGGGTTGGGTTGGTTGTTTTGGGTGTGTGGGTGGGAAGAGGACATTTCCTTCCTTTGTGGTCTGGTGTCAGTGTAGTGTCGCATTGCCAAATCTCCAAGCAGCTTTGAAGACATTTATTTGTACCTCTGTAACTGATATCTGTTTTTTCAATGCGTAAAAAATCTGAACATGAATATAAAATGCAGGCTTTTCCTTTTTTTTATTATTCTTAGGTTTGAGCCCTCTCCATCTGGCTGTTCTGCAGGGCCGTAAGGATTTGGCAAGAATGTTACTGGATGCTGGAGCTGACATCAATGCCATGGTCAGTCCCTGTTGTACCGACTCAGCACTGTGGGTTTCACAGCATCACGGCTTTTTTGCATTTCCGCTCTGCATTCTCTGACTTTTCCCATGGTGCTTTTTTTTTCTCTCTAATCAGGACATCAAAAGTGGCCAGAGTCCTCTCATGCATGCTGTGGAGAGCAATAACGCAGACATGGTCCACTTCCTCATTGAGGTAATGAATTTGTGTGGGTAGAAGAGGGGAGAGAAGGGTTGTGACTCAGCAGAGTTAAATAATTCTGCTTTTCTCTTTCCACCTCATTATCAGTGCATAGTTTTGTATTCTTTTTTCTTCTTAGGGTCCTTTTTAAAGTATTGCAATATAATTGTAGTTTTTCTTTATTTTTAGAGTTTAGCAGCTATGCTGTATATGTGAATCTTTTCTCCTTTCTTCATCACAGACTGCACTCAACCTCTTTGGGACATTATCTCTTGTTTCATTTTCTAAGTTACCGACATCTACTCTGGCTTCCTTTATGAATCATTTTCTGGTGATTTTCTGTTGCAGAATAGATGTGATGTCAACAGCCAGTCATATAGTGGGAACACGGCCCTACACAGCGCTTGTGGCCGAGGTCAGGTGGAGACAGTGCGGCTGCTGCTGAAGAGTGGAGCTGACAGTAGCCTCAAGAACTACCACAATGACACCCCAGTGATGGTGGCCAAGAACAAAAAAGTGAGTGAGGCGATGACAAAGAGGAAAAACAATAAATATAATGGACATTGCTGTAATTCCATTGATACAGTGTTGTTCCTTTTATTCTGTTTTATGGTTGTATGTTCCTGCTTCTTGTGCTGGAAAACAATAAACCTCCTAAAGGTTACTGATCTAACAGTAAATCACTTCCTTATATTTGTACAAATTTTCAGTCTCTCTCTATGATTTTACTATGGGAATTCACAGCTATGTGTTACATAATTTATGTCAGAACAGATACAAACAGTTGCAAAACCTACTTGGCCTAGCTCTTGTTAGTGGGAAGAAAGAGTTGAAGCCAAAATGGGAAGTAAATGCGTGTATCGTTCCCTCTAGAGGCCAAACTTGAATAGTGCACCATTTCCCTCTAGTTATTTTAGTATATCACTATGAGACTTATTTTAAGTCACGTACAAAGTTTTTAATGAACAATAAATTGTTTTACAGATAGCAGATGTGTTACGAGGAAGAGGCTCCAGGCAAATAAGAGTCCAAGATCAGCACTGTATGTCAGTCTCACCAGTTGAGAGCAACCTAACAGAAAACGGTGAGGAGCATTCAAGCGTCTTTTTGTCTCACACACAGAAACAACAAAAGTTGCAGTATTTAATTTATACTCTGTGCTTCTCCTTTAGGGTCTCCATCTCCCAGCCATAGTCGTGGGTGCTCACCTTCAACTACGCCACACATTGTTCATCAGAATGCTTCCCACTCTCCAGAGACTTCCATTTTACGATCTCAGACTTATTTTCCAGTAAGACTTACATCTATGTCCACACAGTCGAGCATCAAGGAAGCAATCAGACAACATCATGCTGGAGAGGGCTTCACCCAATGGGATGGCGGGGCAGGAATGGACTGCACCTGAAATTAGGCCAAACCTCCCATTTTTCTTCCCTGGACAATCATAGTTTGTGTCCTTTCTCAGGCTTTCATGCCTTGACAGACTTGCCTGCAACCTCCCTGCTTAGCTTGCTGCTTCTAAGGAGACTCCGGTCCTGTACTGACTCTTTGAAAACTGGGGAGTGAAACACTGCTGGAAAACTATGCATCAGTAGAAATATTCCACTGCATGCATTCAAGACTGAACATAAAAAAACATTTTTTAAAACTATGTACAGACATGAGTAAATGACTGCTACGGACCAAAGCTCAGTGAACTCAGAGTCCCATCGTAAAAGTATTTCTAGGCACTTTGTCTTAATTTCTGATTAGCAGATTAGAGGGGATGATGGTATGCAACAAATGTACCTGGCCTTACTTGAACTGTGGATATTGCATTAAGAGTGTCTTCATCATTATGCCACCAAGACTTCTTAAGTTTGCAGTATCCTTGTAAGACTTATATATTGCACAGTCAAATACCTGGTTTCCTTTCTTTTGATAATCTGTGCACAGGCATTGTACCTCTTATGTCTGTTAGTGTGCGTGTTGATGTGTTTTTTTAATGTTAAAAAAATGTAGATATTTTTATAAATAAAAACAATAAAACATAAAAATATAATAAAACAATATAATAAAAAATGTGATGTCTTGCTTTAGCTTTATTATTCACCTTAAACCTTTTTGTGATCAAGTATTTATGTAACAAGAAGAAAAGATTAAAAAGGGGTATGATGACAGGCACACAGGTGACAGAACAGGATGTGAGACAAAACAGTTTCCATCCCCTCTTCACTTTCCTTTTTTTAACCAAGCCGCTCTACGCCCACCCACAAACCCCTAACACAATAAGCAAGGGTAGCACGAGGGAAATGAAACACCTCACTGCTGCCAAAGCATCATCTGAACATTACAGATAAATCACCAATGTTTAAACACAAAGCAAAATAGATGATTATACAAATCTCTTCAAAATAACTCAAGATAGCCAAGAACACAAAAAACAAATTGCCAACAGCATCTATAATAACACAGATTTTCTCTGTCAGCTTTGACAAAAACATAACACCTTTTTTGTTTGGACATAATATAACTGTGGTGCGGAAAGCTCCACCTGTGCAATATCCCAGTAATAATAGAGCCATTCCCATACTAACAGCATTTGTGAAACTCATGAGACCAGCTAACAACGGGTGCCTGTTATCTATAGTTGGCTCCAAAGAGGATGCGATATTGATTAATAGTAAAATTTTTATTCTCTGTTTTAACAACCACAATAAGAATTCACACTGGTATTTGTTATATGAGATGTACGACTTGTGCATAAATTTAAGGCTATCAGATACTGGTTTGGATTTCTGGATGACATGAATATATTTGACCATATTAACGGGAAAAACTCATATTCTTCTTTACTTGGCTGCTCCCTTTAAAGGTTTCCACAGTGGCCACCTCCAGCTCTCATGTCTTTTTGTCAGAGCCCGTGTTTGCAAGGTGTTACTGTCATCAGGCACACCTTCCCTGTCACTCTTGCTGCTATCCTTTTTTTTACACAAATCACCCCTGACACTCATTTCCACCCACTCTAACCTGCCAGACCTCTCTTCTTCACCTCTCTGGTGCACTGTCATTACTTCACAGGGCTGACTGCATGTATTTAAGCTCACCCACCTTCACTACCTCAATAAGCAACATTCATATGAGATCATAATAATAAAAGTATTAAGGTTAATGTCAGCGTCATTATATTTACATATTGCCAGTATTTTGGGCTTCAGAGTCGGTGCCTCAGTGATGGCCTGAGCTGAGTAGCTAAAACTTTTGAGGCGTTTGAAAACAGGCCCGTGATTGGCCAATTGGCAGTTCCCTTGGTTCAAACAGCCAACCCAAAAACGAGCGCGGCCATGTTGAATTGTCAGTTCTCTCAAAGAAGAGACAAAAGGTTAAAAAAAACTTCTGTGCCTTTGTCAAAAGTAGTGCCTACCAAGCTTAAACGAAAAGCCGATATACAGTTGAATCACGACACAGGCGGTAAGTTTGTAAGGGAAAGGTAGCATCTTTCTCTGACTGGTAGAGTTAAGCGTCACCGTTAGCGTATACTGCCTAGGCTAGAATCAGCGTGCTCGGATGGCTGAATGAAAGTGCTGAAGGGTGAGACGTAAACGGATGCAGATGCGGTTTCTTTGTAAACGACAGATATTTTGAAACAGTTTCTCACAAACCGGAAAAAAAAAAGACTCAGTCTTAGCTTGTTAGCTCGATGGCAAAGCCCACGTAGCTGTACGTGAAGTTTTAACGGCGCGTACACTCGTGTAAGTTAAAGTATTCTAGCTAACTTTGTTATCGATAGCGGTAACTTTATGGATAAACTAAACACATGTCGGTCACTGTTGGCTTTACTTTGTTGTTTAACATGGCTAACAATTGCACTGGCTAGCTAAGTGACCATAACACTGGCTGCTAAAATTCAAAACTGCTTGCAGCTGTTATTAAGTTTACACTGGTTGTTAGCCTCGGCATCAAAACAAAGGCTGTTGTCCGAATTAAGATGTTAACTCCACGTTTTTCAACCTCCTCTTACTTATATTTCCATAAATACTTGATAGACTTTCTTGCCATCTACCACCAGTCTTGTGGTGGCAGCATTATTTGTCACAATATAACAAAGGTGAGCTTTGCCTTTGGTACACATCTGAAATGTATTTCGTTGATCTGGTCAGGTGCCTTTGAGTAATACCACTTTGAAGCGCTTGTTATTTTTGTGCTCTTCTCTTTTGACTAGCCTGTTAATGCTGAAAAAAAAAACCAACAACCGCCATTGTTTATTTCTTGCAGGAAACCTGGACTACGTTTCTTGTGTATTGTTCATCATTTCCTTTAACATTTTGTAGGCTTCCATCTTGGCGTTTTGCTACAGGAGAATTGAAAACCGAAAAAAATGACCCCCAAAATTTAATGTAGCCTGCCAGTGCTTTAAAAAAATGCAGGGATTGTAATTTTTTTCAGACCACTATTAAGAACAATCCAGTATTAAACCCCAGCAGTACGAGTTATATACTTGAACATGAGAGCAGTTAGATATGTGATCAAGTTGTCCATATTTTAATACTACCCATTTTCAGTCAATGTAACAGTCAAACTCATACTCACAAGTGCACACTAAAAACACACACAAGTTTATTCTTTGGTCATATTAGTCACGCTATTTATATTGATTTCTCCTTTTTGGAGAGTTGTATTGTAAATAGGCAGAATTTACACACAAACTTCTTTTTATGAAGAGGTCTGAATGTTAGATTGTGAACACATGGTTTAAAAAGGATAGATAAGAGAAAAGGGTTTTATTTTTCTCACGTTTTAGTTTTGCAATACATGTGCACATTAAAGTAGAGCAGTGAAAAGGAACTGAGCTGAAATATTACAATACTGCGAGGAAAATCCAGTTAAGGTGTTGGACACATGGCGACAGCAAGAACCGCAAACCCAGCACCAATGGCTGGATTGAACAAACCAGCAAATGGGCAGCTCAGGGGACAGACCAAGACAGGTGGACAACAGTCTGAACTCCTGTCAAATGTCCAACATCCCAGTGCCCATAAAAGGACCAGCATACCTCAGAGCAGTGGAGGCATCAAGTAAGATACTTGCTTTAGTAATGTTTCTCTTCTACTTTGAAAACAGAAAAGTGTCGTTTTTTTCCCTCACATAATCATTTTTTGCAGCTTGACAGCTTGTGCTTTAGAGAAAACCTGCATGAGAACCCCATGGGAAAGTTCAGGACTTCTCACCAAATCTTCTAAACAGTCAAAGCCTTTTTTAAATCCCTGCTATCAGCTCTAATTACCATTGCACCTGTCCTGACATGACTTAATAATTTAAGGTTTAACAGTAAGATGTTTTTGCTGTTGTCAGCACTTAGTACTTTGTTTGGAAGTTCATGAATTACAGAATTGTTAATTTTGTGAAGATCATGTACTTCACATTTGGTTTGTGTGCATATGTGACAATTTTAGAACATCATCAGCATTCACACCAGGGCTAGCTGGGTGTTAAAAGCAAGATCCAAAATAAATTAACCAAAAGAAGTAGATTTGCATTTAACACTTATTTAGATGTTTGCCCACTTACCAAACAGGGACATGCATACAGGTGGAGGGCAAGTATCTGCCTACCCAAAGGAATATAATTTGAAATTGTTTTTAGTTCTTCTTAACCAGTGGGCATCAAAAATAACCCTGGTTTCCAGAGTGCAGTTTTAAAGGCGTCAGCATGCTCTCTGTGCTCTTCAATATTATGGCCAGCAGCAGAACTGCTTTAGAATACAATAGGTTATTGTCATTGTACATGTAAATTAAAAAAAAACAAAACAAACTAGACTAGTAATACACATATGGACAAGTGAAAGTTATTCTTTATATCTGGCTAATTTCTGCCATCTAGTTGAAACAATGAGTACTTCTAATAATTGGTTAGTCCATTGTGTGGGTCTTAGAAGTTATAATATTAGCCTTGCATACATTAGTTTTAGTATTGCTGTGCTGCTTTGAAGTTGCTTTCACCAATGCTCGCCATAGAAATTACTACATTAAGCTGTTGTGTATTTTTAGTATATTAGGTCTTCATCTTTCCAAGTTGAGCCAAATCACACTGCTTAAAGCCCTTTTCCCTCTCTGAAGATTATGAAATAAAGAACTAAATGTTGCAGTGCTTATTTTAACATTTTGTTTTCTTTTTTCACTTGATATGGTCTGGGTCTTCCCTACAAAAACTGTACTCCTGATTACGACTAGGTTTGGTGATGACTGGAAGAAATGCCTGGAGCTTCCTCCAAAAGATACCAGGGTGAAAACTTCGGTAGGTGACTGCCATTAGACGCAAGTATAGTTATACATGCTTACTTAGACTCAGTCCATGCTGCCATCTAGTGCTGTAATCCTCAACCTCTGGATCGTTTTAAACAGTAAACTAAAATGATTGAGTTGTGTTCTCCAGGATGTGACATCCACCAAGGGAAATGAATTTGAAGACTACTGCTTAAAGCGAGAACTGCTTATGGGAATCTTTGAAATGGGATGGGAGAAACCTTCCCCTGTCCAGGTAAATAAAGTAGCCAGAACTCTGGTTCCTGTTTCTGGTGTTAATTTAGATGTATAAATAGTTGCACCCTTTAACAGAATCCCATTACCCCCACTTTGCCTTGATACAGCCCCATGCCTCAGCCATATGCTTTGCAGGGAAGTTGTCCACAAATGGAAAAAACAGCAGGAGAAACACTAATATGCAGCTACCAAACAGAAGAGAAGCATTTTTGATTAATTTACTCTGGAACAAGTTTTAATTTCAGTGAGTAGGAGGCTAAATGAGTCCAATCTCTAGTCCTCCTGATTACATATAAGTATGAAGTGTTAAACATTGGTGTCACTTTGCGCGTTTTTGACCGTTAGAGGAAACAGTAGGGGTGATCCTTTAGTCCTGTCTATTTACATTGCTTCATGCCTAATGAACCATGCCCATTTTTCTAAATCGACTTGTTTGTCTGCCAACAGGAGGAGAGCATCCCTATTGCCTTATCA